AATTAAATACTGTTAGTGCACTAGACGTGTAAGTAAATGTATCAGCAGATGTGCACTCAGCCATGGCTTATGCTCAGCTATGCAGTTTAGAATTTCTTTTACTAAGAAGAATGCTGGCAGGGATTCCTAATCCATGCCCTAACCTTTGAGGGGAGTGCTTCCTACTACTACCTGAACAGATCAGATTTTAGAGACAGGCAGAGGCTGTCTTATTCCAAATCTACCCCTGAAGTGTAAAGTATGACTCCACAACTCTGTCTTGGTGACTGAGATGCACATCCAACTGTCCATCAGACTGAATGGCAATGTAAAAATACATTCCTACTGTTGACACAAGCAGGAAAAAATTAAGAACCTTGCACTTCCGTTGTTTTCAGACTATGCTGAAGTTGCAAGCACATGTCGCCCCCCCCAGTCTGTTTTGAAAATAATATAGTGTTTTAACCACCTGAAGAGACTAGGTCTAGAAATTAAAGCTCTGACCCAGACTTAACTTGTATAACTTGTATCATTCCACCCTCAAAGTAAAAAAAAAAAACAAACCAACAACAAAAAACAAAACCAAACTTATTTTTTTCTGATCAGCTGAATCTCTCTCTGGAGATGTGGTTTTTTTCTCCATAGAGTAGAGGGTGAAACCAGAACAACTAGCTTCTAACTTAATGGTTTAACTTAATTGAGATAAATTTGGACCAGAGATATTGATTGACTAGGTTGCTGCTTTAACCTGACCTATTTCCGTTATCTTCTAATCTCGAAAGAAACATTTCCTTTATCAATTAATCCTCAGGGATAGCAGTGGGCATCTAGTTTTGGTCTATGACACAGTTAAGAGCAGCCTCTGGAATCTCTAAACATTACTGATGAAAATTTTTGTTTATAGGCAGTGTGACCTAGTCACATCCTTTCTTGCATCTCATATGGTTGTGATGCTGTAAGAGCCATTACAGTTTAGAGATGTCTGTAGTGAATGGCCTGTGTGGGTTTTTTGATCATTCTTATCATCCCTTTCATTGTGACTGTGGAGAACACCCTATCAGATAAGCTTGGGAACCTAGCAGATCCCTCCTCCTTTGTCTCCCAGACCTCCTACAGTGGGCTCTAGGGACCAGGTTCCTCCTAGTCTGGCTCAGTCCCTGGTCTCTCCAATAGCAAGGCTGAGCACACATTCCTGACAGGGAGTTTATGCTATATACAATATACAAATATACATGGACGGCCACATAAATAAGACACACAGAGCACTCACAGGAGCAGTGACAGCACCAATTGTCTCCTTATGACCCTTTTTCTGACTGGTCAGGATGGATTTCTACTAGTAAAAGTAAATGTGTATGTGCGTATATGTAGAAGAGGGACCTCACCAGCAGTGGGGCTCAGTCTGCCCTATCACTGGCCCCTGGATCCCAGTGTCTCCAGTTGCTGGCACCTGCACATACAAACCTCTGTAGCCACAGCCCCAGTGCAATTGCTGGTAGAGACACCCCGACCCATGCCCCTCTCTCACGCACACACGCACACAAGGACTCCCCTTATCCCGATATCTGACTGCCTGTGCTCTTTTCTGTAGAGATACACAGGTGCTCTCACAACTCAGAGCTGTCATTTGGAGACCTATATATCCCATTGGCTCCCAGACCACTACACCTGCTTGCCAGCTCATCTGGCTTGATCTTTACTAGTCATCACACACTTACACACCCACGTTCACTCCAGTTACTGGCACCACAGACCCCCGTACACACAGATACACATGAAGCAGAGATCCCCTTGCTGGAAAATAGGTGAAGGTGGAGTTTAATAAGGAAATAGGACAGACTGCAGTGATCAGGTGCTAGGCATGGCCAGAAAGGCATACTAACCAGCAAGCTCTTTACACACGACCACCCTTTTTATCCCCTTACTCCTCTGTTTTCCTGCACTTGTACCTCCTCAAAACACCTAAGTCCATCCCTTTCCCAACTTTGGTTCCTTCCTGAAACATCCCATAAATCATGCGCGATCTCAAAATGCTCTTCCCCTGCATCCCATGGAGGTGATGGGTTTTTGCTGGGACAGCGCTGAGAGGGTGCTGGTTCCTCCAGAATCTGCAATTTGAGTTCCCACCTGCTATTGTGTGTCTCTGCTTTTCTGGGTTTGTGGCAATGGACCTTTAATGAGCTGGTGTCACTCCTGTGATGTGCCTTGGGGCAGCTGAGGCAGATTATTAATCAAGTTACTCCTGCCATTGTTCCTCTGTGCTTTCTTTGTGTGCAGATGATTTTCCTATCACTGAAGCTAAACTAACCTTACAGTGCAGTACTTGCCAGATAGGAACTCCAAATACCATATTCCATTGGCAATTATATGCCACCAAGCAGTTAGACACCTAATTGTATTCATTTTGATGATTTGGAAAATTAGAAATGTTCATAAATTGATAATCTAGTGTTGTGGGAAATAGAAAATTTTGATGATGAAAGAAGTGAGATTTCACCCATTTCACTTGAAAGTGTTCATGATTTCCATCAATACATATTTGCACTACAATAGCATGAACACTATCAGTATTTGTTACTAAAATTATTAATGAGAGTAATATTTTTGAGCAAAATATACTTGTATTTAAAGATATGTTCTCAGTATCACTGAAAGCATGCAAGGAAACGCTGTTGTCTAGAGGAGAATAAAAGAAAACTACAAGAGATGTATAGACAAAGTAAAACCAAAAATATAACTTGATTTAAACTGGGAAATGAACTTCTAGTCATACTATTTAACATTTGAAGATAAAGCCTCTACAAAGCAGGAGCATGCGCACCACACATTTTTCAAAGTGACCAATTTTTTCTGAGTCTAGATTGCTTATTTGTTCATATTCCTTATCATAGATATACTTTTGAGCCTATCATTGTGTTTTCATTTAAAAAAATAAAAAGGTAAAGCAAACAAAAAAATCCAAAACTTGCATGAAGGTCTCATAGTAATAAAGGCACCTGTTATTTATATATATAAACAACAGAGCAAAATTGTTAAGAAAAAATTATGAAACTGATAGCATACTGTGTGATGCTACTTCTTCATACCTTGCAAAACTGAATTTTTCACTCTGTTGTTATGCATAGTCTCATATACACCTGAATGACTTCAGATGTCAGATGATGTCACATGTCACCCACAGAAGAATAACTAGGAGACTGTACTTCAGGTTACACAATCACCTCTTCATGTAAACTTTTATTTTATCTCTGTATTATTGATTAATGACAGTTTTACATTTATCTTTACATAAAAAAGTGTTCCTTAAGCATTTTTTGAATGTGCAAGACAGTTGAACAATGTGTTTTACATATGTATTTGATTTAAAATAAATATTTCTCTCAAATAATGATGCAGTTGTCATCTTCTGACTTGCTTTAGGCTTTCCAGCTTTATTCAG